ATTTAGAATTTTAATACAACCAAACACAAACACTAATATATAACTTCCCGGAGATAAGTTACAATCTTTAAATGTTCTCGACTGTCTATAGTTATTCTAGACATCCATTTAAAAAAAAAAACAAAAACAAAAACAAAAATTCTCAAATCAATCGATTATAAATACATCCTGAAAGAATTTTGTGTTTTCAAGGGAGCATAAACACTTCATTCAATAAAGAGTTTAATTTTTTATATACCGTAATCTTAGTTTTTAGACAATTAACTAATTAAAAATTAATATATATATATATATATATATATATATATATATATATATATATATATGGCTAATTCAAACATAATCTATATAAAATGTGCCAGCTGAATGGTACACTGCCACATGACTTGAGTCTATATTATCATTTCAAAAACATTTTTCTAGTGAAAACTAATTAAATTTGAGTATGTTTATCATTTAGACTAAAGTGTTGATACTAGGCTTTTAAGTTGACTGTTGACTTTTTTTATTGTTGATTATTTATATTTAAATTTGAGTATGTTTATCATTTAAATAATGGAGTGGTTTTGATTAGTAGTCATTGAGGCCTTTGTTGATTAATATAATTAGTGATAATTTTAAGCAATAATTTGATAAATACCTAAAATATATAAATTATTATTTCTCAATTTATATTGTTACAAACTCAATCATTAAACTTAATTAATTAATATTATACTTTTTTTATTAATCCAATTTAGTTATTTATTAGTTTAGTTCTAATTAATGATTTAGAACACTTCCTGATTATTTCATTTTTATAATTAAATTGCGCTAAAGTAAACTAGTTTTTATAATAATTTAGTTTTTAAAAACTGAACTTAAAATATAGTTTAGTCTAGTTTTTATAAAAATTAGTTTAGCTTTTTTTTATAGTCTAGTCTAGTTTAGCTTAGGCAATAGTTTAGTTTAATATAGTTTTTTAAACACCCCTAGCTATTATTTGTCCTGCTGATGGAATCATGCTTTGGAGTGCAAGAGGTGACATACTCAAAGATCCAAGAGGAGTTGGCTAGACATGAAAGTTTGGGCCAGTCAGGGCCCAATGGGCCCGATGGGCCTAGGAAGGCCCAAGTTGAACTTTTCATGGGCCATATTTTGTTATAGCTATTTTCATATGTTTTGTATATATCATGTTAGTATAAGTATCATATATTTTGGTCTTGTATTTTGGACCAAATAGAGTAGCATTTTAGGTTTTAGGCTTGTTGGGCCTAGTTTTGGGCTTCATGGGCCTTTGGGCTTTTGGTACCCAATATTGGGCTCATTTTCATTCTTGTAATTTTTCCTTTCCATTGTATTTGTTTGACCATTGTATTTAGGTCATTAGATTAGGAAAATACAAGAAATACTAAAGTAGGCTAACTAGGTTAAATTAGGTTTGGAAGTCATTTAAGTTACATTTGAGTCACATGTTTAGCACCATGGGTGGCTGAACATGTGCCACTCAAATTAACCCTAAATAACTCTCAAATCAAACCTAAATGCATCTAGGCACCTAAATTTTCGGACTAGCACATGGGAGCCAAAATTTGAATTCAAATTTCAAGTTTGAATTCAAATTTTGGGCGCCACATGTAGCCTTGGATTTAGGCGCCCAAAGTTGCACACTTGGAACCCTACTTAAGTGATTCTTCCACTCTTTGTATTCACTTTTGAGAATAATGAAATTTGAGAGCTTATTCAGCCAAATTTCGTTCAAGAGTCACCATGAGAGAAAGCTTCACCTTAGGAACCCTACTAGGTTTTCCTCCTCTTTGAAGTGAGCTTTCCCTTGCACCTTAAGCTTGGATGCTTCCATCCAAGGCTTAAGCCTCTTCTATATCTGAGATTCTTCCTCCATCTAGTGTTCATCTTTGTGGTTTCCATCTCCTTGAAGAAGATCCGAGCAAAGGAGAAGTTAAGGAGAAGTCATCAATCACTCCTCCTAAACTTTTCTATCACCTGCACTATACAAAACTTGCAGTTATTATTTAAGCTCCAAAAGTATTGAGGCAGCACTTGTCCCCATTTCCAGTAAGCATAAGATTGTCACATGATAAATTAGCCTAGCCAAACACAAACACAAGTTTAGTGATTTCAATATATTGGTTGGTTCAACTTTAACACCGTTTCATTTATTTTTTTATGAAAAAAAAATAAAGGGTTACTTTGAAATACCAAAAAAGGAAGCGAGAAGTACATCATCCTAGAGGTAAATTCTACTCAGACTTGAATAATTGAAAGTCTTGTAGTGTAAACTACTAGCCATCAAATAATTTTTCATTATATCTAAGCCTCTATGGTCGTAGGAGTTTATCTTTATTCAAAGCCTCTATGCTTGTAGGAGTTTATCTTTAATTATTATAGAATTTTCACTCATTTTAATTATTATTTTATACTATTTATTTTAATTAGTTCCCATTATAGATGCCTTATTTTAAAATGATGTTATTGAATGTCTTATTTTTTACTAAGAGCATATGCATTTCATATGTATTGTCTAAATAGTATACATTTATCAATTTATTGTGTTATATTATGTTTAAATCTAGAATAAAAATTTTGAAGCAATGGATAAGTCATGGATTATGAAGCCGCGAAACACAATTGAGTATGAGCAAGAAGTTAGGAGATTTATTGATTTTGCTTTTGAACACAGTTCAGTAAATGAAAAAATAATATGCCCTTGTAAATGATGTGGTTTCAAAAAAAGACAGATCAAGGATGTGGTGTATGATAATTTAATTTGCACACCGTTTCCATGTGGGTATACTAGTTGGACTCATCATGGGGAGAGACGGATAAGAGAAACTAGTAATACTCCAAATGTAGATCAAGATAACTTTTTACTTTCCTTGAGTCATAATTGAAATTTTATTCGGTCAATTGTATGCTTCAGTCTTTTTGTTTATTTTTGAATCCATGTCTAGTAGGTTTGTGTAGTTCTTATATGTTCATCCTTCCTAGCTTTGCTTGTTGATCCATTTTGAATTTTTTTTTTTGAATTGAATCTTGAAATCATTTTCTGGATTTGGTCGAGATCCATAGTCATTGGTATAAGCTCATATTTTTGTTTGATTTGAGTTCATGAACTACTACTAGATCATTAGTTGTTTTCTTAGAAAAATTAGGTTTCCTATGCTAGAAAATGTCTTAAAAAAAATTTCTTTAATCCGTGAGGTTTGATCTTATTTGATTAGATGTGTGCTGGAAATTGTGTTTGTGGCTTATTTTGAATTTGAATTTTGGAGCCTAAAACCGTGCATGTGCCATTCAAATTAGCAAGCATAAAAAACATGTTACATGTTCATTGAATTTTAACCTAATTTGCTTGTCATTTGGCATCTAATTTTTGAATCTGGTTTTAGTGCTTCCTAAGTGTGACCGAGACCTATATGCTACATAAACTTTGAAAGAAAAAGGCAACTCCTAAGTTTAAAAAAAAATTAGAAGAAAGATCAAAAGAAAATTCAAAACAAAGTGATTAAAAAAAACAAAAGTGTTAAATCTTGTTTTCAAAAGGAAAAGCCAATTAAGGAGTTCTTTGTTACAAGATTTCTTCTCGGAATCATATTGCTTATTTTTACATCATCTTTCAGCTTACATATCTTTGAGTGTTTTGGTTTTGTGAATCCATTTTAGAACCTTTCTTAGGTTGATTAATTCTTGTCCTAGCTATTTTCTTACCTTGTGTCACCTATCTTGTGTACTTCTACTCTACTCTTGTCTTCTTTAATTTTTTTCAATTTCTCTTTGCTATCCACTATTATTGTTTGAATTCAAATGTGACCTATGTTTGACCTAGCCTATCTTCCTAGAAGCTAGTTCTACAAGGGTCATCAAAAGAAGCCTAAGAAAATGAGGAGGAAGGAAAATTGGTGGCTCTCGGTTTTGGATACTCACAAACATACTTGTGGCTGGAAAATTGTTGGTTGCTGGAATTGATCAGCCGTGAAGACCTTTGGAGATTCAATTTGAATTTGTAATTTAATTTAAAAAAATATATAAGCATTAGTGACGGATTTTAGAGACCAATTTTTTTCCTTACTAACTTGAAAATTTGTTGCAAATTTGGTCACTAATCCTTCACTAATTCTTGGTGGCTGTTTTCTAATCTTTTTGAGCCACTTGTTCTTTGCTGTTTGGATTTGTATAAACCTTGTAATTGGCCATTTAAAGGAGTGTCTTGGGTGTGTCTTTGGTACACAACCATCTCTCCTTAGGTGTTTATTTTCGTTAGTACTTTGTGAGAGTGGTCCTTGATTGATCTTTGGTATCTTTCAAGCTCTCACCTAGGACACGTGTAGGTAGTTTAAATTCTTGCTTTACTACTTGTTTTTACTTGCTTTCTTTTCGACTAGCAAATATTAGATCACAAAACATCAAAAATAATTTTCACTGAAAAGAATTTGGTAGAGATTAACTACAAAGGGGATTAGTAATTTTTACTTGAAGAGGCTTGGTTTTTAAGTGGCTCTTAGTAGCTCACCTCCCTCCAAAGTTCAATTTGTATACTTAATCCTCTAAGTACTTAGTCTTAACCTTGCATAAAAA